ATTAAATATTTTAATATTTTTTATGACGAAATGTCTTTTTTTTTTCTTTCTTTTATAATCTAAAATTATTTTAGATTATAAAAAATATATATTTAAAAAAAAAAAAGTCAGTTGGGGCTGAAAACTACTTATTGATGATAAGAAAAGTGAAATGCACCACGAAATTGTATTTCTTATGAGGATTGACAGGGAGGACGGGCCTCTTATGATTGCTGTGGCAAAAATTGACATTTCAAGTCCGGACAAGGATTGGCCTGAAAAAGGGTCCGGACTGGCAGTTTCTTAAGGACGAAACAAATGAAGATAAAAAAAAACGTTTAGAGTGTAAATGGTGGAAGATGCTTCTACTCCTCCAAGACTCAAACTCTAAAGACTAAAGCTTAGAGTCAGCGTGTATATAAATGTGTGTCTCTGTCTCCATCTCTGTGTTGAAGCAAAAACATGACTTCTCCAATCCTCCTCCTCCTCTCCCTTCTTTCATGTCTTCTCCTCTCTTCTTCTTCTTCTTCTTCTTCTTCTTCTTCTTCTTCTTCTTCATCAAAACAAATTCCAAAGGTTTGTGTTGCTTTCAATTGTGTTTGGTTGCCGAGAAAATAAAACAGAGCAAAGAAAAATTTTTTTTTTTTTTAAATGGCGTTTCCGTTTTCTCGGCAACCAAACAGATCAGCTTAACATGTCTGTTAATTATAATGATGTCTCTGTTCACTGCTGCAATGGATTTCTGCATAGCGTTTGTGTAATAATTGAAAGTAATTTTAATTTGCTTTGTTTTCATTTTCTCGGTAAACCAAACAGAAACTAGAAAACATTAAGATCATTGTTGACTGCGCATCACATTTATACTTGAATTGAAGTAATTTGAATTTGCTTTGTGTTTGGCAGCATTACATTGTTTACATGGGAAGTTCATCCAATGGAGATGGAAGAAATGCTCCAGTTTCTGAATCGGATCACATCAAATTGCTGTCCACAGTGATCCCGAGGTCGTGATCAATTCCTTGTCTTTTTCTTTTTGACTTTTATACAGAGCAATGATCAGTAAGGAATAGAACTTTTTTTTTTTTTTGTTTTGTTTTGTGTGTGTTTGCAGTGAAGAGAAGCAAAGAATATCATTGATTCACCATTATAGTCATGCCTTCAGAGGATTCTCTGCTATGCTTACAGAGGATGAAGCTTCTCTCTTATCTCGTAATTCTTCATTCCTTTTCCTATATGTTATACATTTGCTTGAAAATTGATTTTCATTTTCCACTCCGTTTTCATTTTCTCGGTAACCAAACAGAAGTCAATTCACGTCAGAATCTCTCTTCTTCTTTTTTTCATTCTCCATCATTTAAAAAAATAAAAATAAAAAGAGAATTTTAATTAAAATATAAAAATAAAGTGATATTTCTTTAACTCTCCATCATTTTGATCTGTGAAAGCAGAGCATGACGGAATTGTATCTGTTTTTCCCGATTCGGTACTTCAACTCCACACAACTCGTTCATGGGATTTTTTGGGGGCCACATCGAGCTCAAAGTTCAGTCAGAGTCATCAGGAAGTGTCAACTGATGTTATAGTTGGAATAATAGACACAGGTAATTACAATTTTTGAAAATGTAGATGAAATTGTGTTAAATCTTTTGATGTACTAGTGATTTTTGAAATTAATCGGGCCTTCAATCTTAGGGATTTGGCCGGAGTCTCCAAGTTTCAGCGACAATGGAATCGGCCAAGTTCCAAGAAAGTGGAAAGGAATCTGTATGGAAGGATCTGATTTCAAAAAATCCAATTGTAACAGGTAACGATTTTCTATTCCGATCAATAATTCCCTAAAAAAAAAAAAATGGAATTCGAGAATTCCTCCAAAATTCATAGAGATTTTCTTTGCGAATTCTAGGAAATTGATAGGAGCAAGGTACTACGTACAGCAGAGATCCCACTCGGGAAACGGTACCGTATCGAGGGCACTCAGTGGGTCCCCTAGGGATTCGATCGGACATGGAACTCACACTGCTTCAACTGCTGCCGGTTCGCCGGTAATGAACGCCAGTTACTACGGCCTGGGTCAAGGAACGGCCAGGGGTGGCTCACTGTCGACTCGAATTGCAGCGTACAAGGCATGCACGGAAGATGGTTGTTCTGCTGCCACAATATTGAAGGCGATTGAGGATGCGATCAAGGATGGGGTTGATATCATCTCGATTTCGATTGGGATGAACGCGTTGTTTCAGCCTGATTTCTTGAGCGATCCCATTGCTATTGGAGCTTTCCATGCAGAAGAGATGGGAGTGATGGTGGTTTGTTCTGCTGGAAACGATGGGCCTTTTCCTTCCACTGTTGTCAATGCAGCTCCATGGATTTTTACTGTTGCGGCTTCTACAATTGACAGGGCTTTTCAGTCCACTGTGCTTCTTGGAAATGGAAGAACTTTTCAGGTAACATTTCTTCATACAGAAAGCAAATGTTTGCATTTTTTTTTTCTATCATTTATAGGAATTCAAAATTTCGAATCTGTGGTCAAAGGGGCTTGCCATTAATTTCTCAAACCTCACTCGTTCGGAGACTTACCCTCTTGTGTTTGGGAAAGATGCTGCTGCTAAATTTAGCCCCGTATCAGAAGCAAGGTACCTATAGGAATCAGTGATCATTTTTTTACGTTGTTGATATTATCAAGCTTAATTTTGTCAACAACACTACAGGAATTGTTATCCTGGGTCGCTAGATCCAAAAAAAGTATCTGGGAAAATTGTGGTTTGCATAGACACTGAGCCAATGTTGTCAAAACGAATCAAGAAACTGGTGGTAGAAGATGCTAAAGCAAAAGGGATGATTTTTATCAATGGGGAATCAAAAGGAACACCTTTGGATTCTGGTGTATTTCCATTTACAGAAGTTGGGATTGTTGAAGGGTATAAGATCCTCAAGTATATGACGTCTAACAAGTAAGAACTAGATTTAAATGGTTGAAGATTAGTTCATAAAAAATGCTTTGAAGGCATTGTTGATAGCTTTTATTTGCTATTGTGCATTTATGCCAGCAACCCAACTGCAACTATCCTTCCAACAGTTGGTATTCCGAATTTCAGACCAGCACCAGTTGTAGCATATTTTTCATCAAGAGGCCCTGGAGGGCTAACAGAAAACATTCTCAAGGTCTTTCTCTGTACCTTATGAATCTTATAAGTCTCATCTTGGTTATCAAATTTGTGAGATATATGACTGATGTCAACTAACCATTGGTCAGCCTGATATAATGGCTCCTGGAGTTGCCATTTTAGCAGCAGTAACTCCAAAAGCTGAACCAGGGACTGTGCCAATTGGAAAAGAGCCCCCTGGATATGCCATAAGATCAGGAACATCAATGGCTTGCCCACATGTGACAGGTGCTGCTGCTTTTGTCAAGTCTGTGCACCCTGGATGGAGTACTTCCATGATCAAATCAGCCCTCATGACAACTGGTAAGCTTGTTAAAGATCAAAAAAATTTAGTAAGATTTGCAATTTGGATTTTGTGAAATTACTTTACTTTCCTAAATAATGACTTCCTTATGAGTTGAATGGTAGTTCTAGATGATTATCAAGGTTGAAAATTCTTTTGAAAGAGACCATGCAAATCGTGTTTTGTTTTGGTGATTTAACATGTTTTAGCATATAAAATAATTCTCAGCATCAATCCATGCTGCAAATGGTGCGGAGGAATGCTGCTGCAGCTGATTTCTTCTCTTTCCTTAATGCAGCAACTGTGTATGATAACCTGAGAAAGCCCACAGAAAATGGTTCAGGTCAGTCAGCAACTCCACATGAGATGGGGGCTGGAGAAATAAGTCCACTTAAAGCTCTTAATCCTGGATTAGTCTTCAAAACAACAACACAAGATTATCTCAAGTTCCTCTGTTACTATGGCTCTTCAGAGAAGAAAATTCAATCCCTTTCCCAAACAAACTTCAAATGTCCAAGAAAATCCTCGGAAAACCTCATCTCCACCATCAACTACCCCTCTATCTCCATAGACAAGCTGGACAGGCATGGAGGTATTCAAACAATTGGAAGAACTGTAACCAATGTTGGACCCCCAAATTCCACCTACATTGCTGCTGTGAGTGCTCCCTCAGGGTTAGTTGTCAAAGTTTGGCCCCAGAAGATTGCCTTTGGTGAGGGGTTGAAGGAGGCTTCTTTCAAAGTGTCCCTTTATGGTAAGGAAGCTCCTGGTGGCTACAATTTTGGGTCCATAACCTGGTCAGATGGTTTACATTCTGTCAGAATGGTCATTGCGGTAAATGTTGAATGATAATTAAATGATATTATGAATTCTTTGTCACCATAAGAAACAAATATAGGAATCCTTAAGGTTCAGCTGCAACACTTTCTAAGAGAAGCCAACACGTGCGCAGGCTACCTTGCTTCCATGGGGCACTCTCTTTCTGTTGATTTTGTGTGTTTTGATGTTTACCCTCCGGGCCTGTGCTGTATTTCAATGCTGATTCTGACCGGCAAATTGAACTTCCCAGAACCCGATGTATGTTGTGTTATTTTGATTAATCTATCTCCTTGATTACCCAAAAAAAAAGGAAATTTCAATGAATTTCATTGACATTTGCATTGATGAATTTCAAGGGTGAATCAAGAAATAAATCATGAAAGAATCTTCGCACTGATCAGAGCAAAAGAATGGTGAAAATGGCATTCCTTTAAGACTTCGATTCAGTTAAAATTTCAACCCATCGGCTTCCATTTTTCTTCCCGCTTAGAACCTTGTTAAACAAGATAGAAAGAAAGAAAGAAATATGCAAACACAAACAAAAACACGGTAGATTGTAAACATGGAATGAGATTAATCCTCTATTTGATCAGCCGAAGAAGAATGCTTTGAATCTTCGACAGATATTTCAGTCAGTTCATCAACCGCAACGGGGACAATCGCCCTTTCAATTTTCCGGCCAGTGTCATTCAGCAACATCTCCTTTTCCAAGTGCAAGCAATAGCTCTCGAACACTCGAGAACTAACCGTAACTCCAAAATCCAAAAGGAAAAGCAGTTCTAATTCTAGCCGGTTCAGCTCCGCATTGCTCACTCCACCAACACGAGCGTAGAACGCATTGTTGTAGTGCCTGCATTAATGACTGAAAATTCATCAATGGGCTACAATCCTTATATTTCCACGGAAAACAGAATTTGCAGGCAGAATTGCTAATCTCTTTGCAGGTTTTATTTACGTACCTCTAAGAAGGTTTTTTTTTTTTTTTTTAATGTTGTTACAACAAAAAACAATTTTCTTCTATCTCTTATCCCACCCCACCACATGCCATATGACTTGAACTCAGAATTTTTTATTTTCAACAAAAATAAATTACCACTGAATTATTTAAATCATTAACCATACGTCTAAGAAGTTAAACGAGAAAATAAAACATGCTTCATATTTGGATCAGGCAAAAAGAACAAACACAGATTGCAAACACTAGAAAATTAGGAACCCATGTAACCGGCGTAGCTAGAATTTAAAGTTAGAGGGGGCACAATTATAAATTACAAAAAATTTTCTTTCAGTCAAATGAGTTGTTTAACATCTCTAATCTCTTATTATTAAGAGAATCTATAAATTAAAAAATATATATATATTCTAAAAACAATGAAAAAACAAGAATATAATAATAATAAAACATGAACACATATTAAAAATACCCAAATCTTAAAATTTAAAGAATCAAAAAGATAAAACAATCATAAACCGAAAAAGAAATGGTTCATAAATTGATTAAAATAAATCACAAAGGCTAGAGCCTTTCTAGAAATAGAATAATTTGTGCAAATAAATTAAATTACAAATTGAAATAAAACAAAACAAAACAAATTAAGTATACGAATCTATAGATTTACATTGTAGGGGACTAATATAAGAATAAATAAAAAATTTAAATCTAAGGCTAACATATATGCTGATAAAGTTAACAAATAATTATGAAATATGTATAAAACAAGATAAAAAAAAAGTTTAAACTCATAAATTGAAATTAACAATGATTCTTCCTCGTGCAAGAATTAATTAAAAAATTAAAATCTCTCTCCCAAATAAATTAAAAATTAAATAATAAAATCATTAATCATTTGATAATTACAGTTAAAAAAATTAAAAATCAAATAATCAATGATTTAAAGTCTAAAGTAAAAAATAATTAATTATTACAATAATCAATAACTGTAGTAGAACATTATAAAAAAAATCAAAAGTCTATTGTTATAAAAGGTGTTTAAAACAGTTGGGATATGTTTTGAATTAGGTAAAAAAACAGAAAAAGGAACAGTGAGTTTAGGCGATAAATTATAGTATAATTGACAATTAGTTTTAAGTTTTCTTTGTTTACCAAATAATTAACATATATACTTCAATTTTTTATTTTATAATTAAACTTAAATTTTTTTTCTATATTTTAGGGGATGCCTGGCGCCCCCCACAAACTCTGCCACTGACCCATGTTGTTAATGCAAAGAAGGAGAAAACTCACACATCGTCGAGCATCTTAGAAGCCACCAAGACGCTGGTAACCAGCAACCGGTGGACGTTCAGAGAAATCACGAGCGAGTCAGGGTGGCGGTGCGCCAACCGGTCAATGTACACGTAGCCCACCACGAAGCAAGACGGACTGCAGTTCGTGTACTTGTAAATCCTCTCCAAGTACTTGGGTAAGGTTATATTGGGAGCCCTCACGCCGTGGAACGCATTCAAGCTCCTTCCCAGCCTGCCGTAGCTGCTATGCCTGCTCAAGCTCAACCCATCCAACTGCTCACTTAGTGCTTCCACAAGCCCATCGTTTCGGGCTACTAGCTTTTCCATCACGGAAGATATTATCGTCAGAACCCGTGGAGTTGTCGACTCAAGTTCGATAGTCTGCGGCTCCCGGATTTGGGCGTCCGTGTACTCGCCGGCAGCCAACATTAGACCATCGTGAGGGAGAGAAGGAACACCAGACAATTTTTGGGTGGTAAGGGAGATTGCTAGAGTTTGCATTATCTATTTGTATGTTAACCACTAAGATTGTGACACGTATGTATTCATTCTGGGTAGTGACATTTCCTAGTCCTACAGTAGTTACGTTTGAAGGGTCCCAGATGTGGATTGGCACATGTTATATATATATATTTTTAACAAATTTTTAACGGATCGAATTCCAACAGTTATTATTGGGAGTGAAAGAATGCATTTATACGTGATTTGACGTTATTAGATTCGAAAGCTCAAGTGCAGCACATGTTATATTCATTTTTATGTTAAAAAATATTAATTTTCACATTAATAATTAATTTTATGTATAAATATGTTACTTATAAAATGCATGTTAAATTTTAAATTAATTATCTATATTCAATTATTTTTAAATAACATAAGATTTAATATAAAATCATTTTTTATACCTAAATAAAATTATTTGTTTTAAAAATTGATTGCAAAGAGAGAAATGGTTAATTTACTCAACTCCTAAATATTTTCTATAAATGCAGAAAAATCCTTATAATTCAAACATCAAAAACAAATTTTGTACTAAATAAAACTTGATGTACTATATTAAACATTTTCAAAAGCTTAGGGGGTGGCTGCCCCCTTGTCCTATGGTAGCACCGTCCCTGAGGAAGTCTGTTCTATCCCCTTAGATGTGGCAAAAGTAAATACACCACATCAACCTTTTTTTTCTTTCACACTTCATCAATCACAAAAAAAAAATAATTGATGTGGTGTTTTCTCATTGGGTTGGGATATCACGTCGGGATACAGCAAACAAATCCTGTCCCTGGGATTGTCCACCATTCAATTGGTTAAGATTATAAATAACGGTTAAATTTTTATTTTATTTTAATTATTAATATTTATTATATATTAACAAATTGAAATAAGTTTATAAGCAACTATTTCTAAATATTATACCAATCATTTAAAAAAATTATAAATTAATAAAATTATAGATAAATTTGTGGCTTTAACAATTTAGATAATAGTAATAACTTACTTTTATAATTGCACTGATATTTCTTGTTATCATTTCTTCCTAAGTGATGGAAATGGTTATGGCCATCTAATAAATATAATAATTGGGGCCATCCTAACTTTTTTTTTAGTAAATGTTTAGTTATGATATTTAAAAATATCAATATGTAAATTAATTTTAGGAACTATTTAGTAAAACAATTAGTAGTTTTATTTAATTCATGAATAAGAGTGTTTAAATTATTAATAATTATTATTATTATCTCTCACATTAAACAAAACTAGATTTCAAACAACTTCATAATCTATTAATTAGTAAATATCAATAATTTTATTATTTATTAATTAATACTTACAATTATTAACTATTTTTAATAAT